TAATGTTTGTAGCATAGTCATGTACGAGCATGTGCAACTGTTTATTCTCATGCTTGAGCCCTCTGATATCCTGTTTAAGACTTATCACTTCAGCCACCAATGATTCAACTTGGCGAGTTTGAACAAATAGGCGTTGGGCCATATTAGACACAGAACCTGCACACTGAACACTGAGAGCTAGAGAATCCTTAATAGCCAACTCATTAGACCGTTTGGAAAGTAGTCTGTTATCTTCGGGAGTGAGAAGGTTCCTGGCCACCACCGCAGTGATCATATCATTCTTCATCACAGAGTCCCCAACAGTAAGAGGACCAGTAAAGGATAAGAATGATGGGTGTCATATGTTGTCTTGAGAAGGCATGGCTGCCTCTTCACCAAAGTTCAAGTCAAAACGACAGTCGGATGGGCCAAACATTCTCAGAAATGATAAACGAGAAATGAGGTGCAATAAATCTCTGAAGTAAAGGGAAAATTCCTACAAGCAATAACTCAATGAATGTACTTCATGCACACAATTGGTACCCTTATAAAAGAAAGGGCAACATGATCGTTGGTTCAAAAATCGAAGAGACACCACTTTTCAGATTCCGAAGAGGCACCACTTTCCACACGCAACATCAGATTCTCGGGTACAACATATAACTTTGCCAAATATCTCTAACAAAGTTTAGACATTAATTTTGAAGATCCAGCTACCTTACTATTACCCACAAGGGTAAAGGAACAGCACCACTGCTTGATAACTAGAAAGTCCCAATGTGGGTCAACCCCCGTGCTCCGTGGCAAGGCAGACTGGCAAAAATGTCCAACCTTTACTCACATTCCAGAAAACACTCATAACAAGATTGCTTGCTCAAAAATCGAAGAGGCACCGCTCTTCGAATCTCGAGAGCCAAACTCCCAACAGGATTACGTGCTCAAAAATCGAAGAGGCACCGCCCTCCAAATCTCGAGAGCCAGACTCCCAACAGAATTACTTTCTCAAAAATCGAAGAGACTGCTCCTCGAATCTCGAGAGCCAGACTCCCAACAAGATTACGTGCTCAAATATCGAAGAGGCACCGTCCTCCGAATCTTGATAGCCAGACTCCCAATAGGATTACTTTCTCAAACATCAAAGAGACATTGCTCTCCGAATCTCAAGAGTCAGACTCCCATCAAGATTGCTTTCTCAAAAATCGAAGAGGCACCGTTCTCTGAATCTCGAGAGCCAGATCCCCGACAAGATTGCTTGTTCGAAAACCGAAGAGGCATTGCTCTCCAAACTTCAAGAGTCAGATTTCCTTGGATAAAGCTTGTCTGCAATTTTTACACGGAACATCAGCTTTCCAGATACCACAGACCATTTTTTCAAAGTGCTCTGACAAAGTTAAAACACGTGAAACTTGCAGCCCCTACTACATTGCTATGACTAAAAAGGGTAAAAGAATAGCACTACTACTTGTTGTTAGGGAGACTCATATATATGTCGACCTCCATCCTCCACAGCCAGGCAGACCTGCAAATAAAAAAAAATGTTCAACTTTTCTTCACATCCGAGAGGGCACTCTTAGTAAAGTCTTTCGAAATACTCAACTTCTTTTTCTCCCGATAATACCTCTGCAAACAAGCCACACCAGAGCAATAGTATCTCATATCATCAGGGTTTAAAGCAAGAGTATCCCATATCAGGCTTTTTCCCTGTCTTTTCTTTTGATCTTGTTCTTACCTGCAAGACAATGAGAAAGAGAGCAATCAGTCAGCACTTGGAATCAAGCTTCTAGTCAGGAACTGACTGCCTGGAACTCCTTGCCTGATTACTTACCTGGCATTGCTCTCGAGTACTCATCTTCAACATCTTATGCTTTCAGAGAAGATACCACATCTGACTGAGGAACAGATAGGGCAAGTAAGAAGGATATAAGGAAGCATGTGGAGACAAGCGTAATAGACACGTGCCGATACATCCACAACTTTGTCAACAACAAAAGTATCTCATATCATCAGGGTCGAACGTACTCTAGATTTGATAGACTTGTTTTGACCCTCAAATTCTTGAGTCGACTTTATACTCTGGAGGAAACCAGAAAACCCTCCAGCCCAGTTCAAGAATAAGCCTGTGAAAAGTTACTTCTTCAAAAGAAAAAGTATCTCATATCATCTCTTCTCCATTTGCTTATCCTTATCCTTGTTGCTGTTTACGACACAAGGAGAAGGAGAACAATCAACCGGAAGCCGAAGTCAAACCTCCGATCCATGTTGCTTGCTTGGAAGTCTAATTGCTCACCTTATTTGTTACCTCCTTCGGCAAATCTCCTAGCTCGGCGACTTGAGGGACTTCTACTATAGGGTTGTATCGCACTTGACCAAGCCCGAAACTACAAGTAAGCTTCAAGTGAAATTGATGCATTACCTTGTGCATCTTTATCGGTTAAAGATACCACCCTTGGATGGAGGAAAAGTACTTCCAAAGAAGATGACACATCTACATATGAGAAAGATAAGGTAAGTGAAAATGATACCACACTTTGGTACTTAGAAGTTTTGTGATTACTCAATGACTTGGATCTTGCAAGTCCCCAACCGAGGAGCTTCCCTCACTTGGGAACTTAGGAGAGCACTGTTTGTACCATACTTGACCAATCCCGAAACTACTGAACACCGGTCAACGTTATACCGTCAAGGACCCAGAAGAGTTTCCCTCCAACCAGGACCAATCACAGCGCGACACGTGTCGACATCAGAAGCCAATCATAACGCGACATGTGTCAACATCAAAAGTCAATCACAACACGACACGTGTCAATGTCAGAATGAAACTAGAAACTCTCTTCTATAAATAGATATCATTCTCTCACAATATTTCCTAATGTCATTTGTACTAAATCATTCACTAGTACTCACAAAAGAAGAGCTTGAACCTATGTACTTGTGTAAACCCTTCACAATTAATGAGAACTCTTCTACTCCGTGGACGTAGCCAATCTGGGTGAACCATATACATCTTATGTTTGCTTCCCTGTCTCTATCCATTTACATACTTATCCACACTAGTAACCGGAGCAATCTAGCGAAGGTCACAAATATTTTCTGTTGTACCAAAGTCCTCACTGATTTTGTGCATCAACATATACGATAAAAAGGAAAAGATCTACTCACTTGGAGTCCGCCTTACCATTTTCCTAGCATGTACCTCGAGGTGTCCTGGACGAACGACGCCTAGGACAATTTTTAAACCACATCTCAAAATCCTTATGAATAGATCATGTAACTTATGTAAAACACATCCCTAAAGACGTTTTAGAATGATTTAATACCAATTGATCAAAAGTCAACCATCGATCAAGGATCGACGGTATGGTCCATAACTCTACATAACTTAATCCAGAAGATCCGCTGTTCAGATTTCCGATCAGAAACTTCCAAAGATCCACATTATGCTTCTAACACATTATCCTAAAATTTCACTATGATCCAATGGTTTGGTCTCCATCAATTGCCAAAAACAAGATGGCGGTTAACATTTATTTTATGAACTTGCAAATCTAATTCGGTATGATCCGCAAGTTGAATTCCCGATCCGTTAATTTCGATAATCTTCAAATATTATGTGTTATCACATATTAAAGTTTAGTAACGATCCAACGGTCGGATCGTCGATTCATATAATAATTAAGTGATATACCTAAATCAAACTAGATTCAGAATAATCCATTTACATCATATGGATATCAACTATGAACTCAGACATCTAAAATGACTTTAGAATGACATCTTAAATCCGCTGGCCATTGGCCGCTCTAACTCGCTGGAAAATTCAACTATTTCTAAAAAATTTCAAACTTCACAGAAATGAAGATCTTAGTAAGTAGAACAACTTTCATACCTGCGATCAAGTCCAATTCGGCCGGTAAACACCTGAAATCAGCCTTGATCCACCGGAACCCTAGAATTGGGTGTTCCTTGATTCGTCCTTAAGTCAACTCTGACACTCCAACTAATGATTGAGCATTGTTCCTACGCTCAAGGGAAGTTGTTTGATAGTGGAGATCGACGAGAATAGTTATAGAAAATGGCCAATTGTCACCAGGTATCCTCGAAGCCAATGGCTTCGATTCTTCTAGTACTGAGCCCAGTCAACTCCATTTTTGGATGAGAAAGGAAGGTGGGACAATGTTGAATCATTTCTAGGTGGTGGCTCACCTCAAATCGCTGGGATTCGGCAGGAATTTGGTAGGATTTTCCGCCCAAAACCAAGTCGACGCACGCGAGTCTAAGGAGCCAATCGGGTCGTGGGGTCCGGATCCCCTCCCTCACTCGTTTCCCTTTTGTTCTCCCTTCTCTCCTTCCCCATTGGTCAGTCACGTTCCTTTATCCTCTTCCCCTTGGCTGAGCCCCTCTTTTCTTCCCTCTTGAAACTCTTCTCCTTCTTCCTTTTTCTAACCACTTCAAAAAAAATAATTAAAATAACAATAACTAAAAGACATAAATAGAATAATAGATAACAACCCTTACCTACATACTTTCAAATTTATAGTTCCGTAAAACCTCTATCGTAGTTCCGAATTCAATTTTTGCATGCATCTACATATTCACACCGCCAAGTACTTTTGAAATACGGTATGGTAATAGTTCATACGCGTCATGAATTAGCGATCAACGAAAATCGATACCCTTACCTCTAGGGTATTCTCATGAATTCACATTTTAAGATTTATAAAATCGTAAAATTTGGAACGGGTTGTCACAATAACTCTATCTTTACGCCGTTTGGAAATGGACAATGAGAATTGAGGTGTGAATTCAACCATGGCTGACAACAAGACTATCACTTCTGTAGACGTTGACAAAAACCATGTATCACCATCTCTCTCTGTGTGGTATATGTTTCATGAGCATATGTGTCTGCTACCATACCTTTTCATATGGGAATCTTTCTATAGGCTTCATGAAGTGCATGGAGCACTAGTAATCAAATTGGGTTTGTTCGAAAACATTATTGTTTGTTTGACAAGATAATATCTCTGTAATTTCAAAACTGCACACTCGCATATCAATTGCAAATTTTGCTTATGAAATTCCAACTGATCCAGTACCACTGTACAAGTCTAACCAACGGCCAAGCCTTAAAGGTGCAAGACAACCACCAGCAGCCTAAGATTTGTGGCACACATTAATTTACAAGCACAAATGTCGAATTTACAAGCACATATGTCGTAGACACAAGACTTAGTTACCTGCAGGATATCAAAGGCTGCAAATTATATTGAATTATATTGTATTTCAAGATGCATCTTGGTTAGTCTTTGGTGTTTGAATGTCAGAAATATTACTGTTTATGTGAAATCGTAAATACTAATATAGTACATGAAAATTTAAGAATGTACATCTAAAAGTTAAAATACACATCTTCTAAACTCTAAAAAATTGAAATCAAATGAACAAAAAATTCATAAATTGAATCATACCTTGATTGGAGGATTCAAAACTTCAAAATCACCATCCATCAATAAAGAAAAATTGTTTTTCCCTATGAGAGCTATTAGAGTTTTAGCCGGAATGAACATAGGATAAACAAAGAGTGATTGTAGGGTTTAATTATAATGTTTGGGTTTATTGATAAATTTAAGTTTTATTATTAATTTCATTTTGTACTTAATAGTAATTATGCAATAATGTAAAATAGACGACTAACATTTAAAATTTAAGTTGGGTGTAAAAATAAGTTATATGGGTTTAAATAAAATTTCCCTATTAAATTTTGATTATAATTATCACAAACTTAAAATGTTGGCTATAACTATATACGAGGTAAAAATTATGGTTATTTTTCCAAATTTTTTCTAACGGAGGACGTGACACAAAACCGAGCGCAATGACGTTTTATGATTCATATAGCCGACCCCACTTAGTAGGAAAAGGCTTTGTTGTTATTGTATTTTTCCAAATTTCTCCCAGTAATTTGGGTAGCCATGTATAATTAAATGGGGGTAGTTGATGTTCTTTTTTTAGTTAGGTGGTAGTTAGATGTTCGAACTCAGCATGTTTTCTCCATTTACCTGGTCTGCAAACCCACCATTGCCCAAATGCCCGTGGATCTGCAGATTGCAAAGACGAAGGTCTCCGCATTAGATAACACTAGAAATATGCCCGCGCGTTGCTACGTGATTTGAATGCACCAGCCTTAATTACATGAATAAGACACATTTAACCTGAAAAAAAAATTCAATATAATCATCAATGAACAAAAGAGATAGATGAGTGAACGGTGTCGGTAATATAAGCAGCTTAGCTTTTATATATATTCAACTGAGCTGATTACAAAAGATGTGGTTGCATAAAAATGCTCTATTTTCCTGAGAAAAAGAAGCAACAGCCCCATATGCTTGACCAATAGTTCTATACTCGTTTTCAATCTGGTATAATTGAAACAACAATTGACCCATAGAAAGGTTCTGTTAAGTGCTTCTGGAAAAAGGGTTTGTTGGATTGCTTTTCAGCTTGCTTGCTTTGTGGTGATATAGTGCTTGGGATTTCATGCTTGGTCCAAGAGAATGGAGAAGACTGTAGATAAACAGTTGAAAAAGAAGCTAATGGGTCATCCGTTAACAATTTTATTTTATTTTATATTTTTACATTTCATCCATATCAATAACATTCCTTTTGAATTCCACAGAGAGGAAATAACCAGATCAAGGATTCAGAATAAGAATACACGATGATCGGTTTCTTAGTCTTTTGGTTTGGGGTTTATATCTCAAATCACACTTCATCTCGCATATCCCATCCAAAATTTCAAGCAAATTCGGAACTGAAATTCCGAACAAACTTTGAATTAAATTATAACGTCTAAACTGTGGAATTTGCATATAATCGTTCCATAAATAAACAATTAAAAATAGATAAGAAAAGGAATTTTCTGTATCAGAAAGACGATAGGTAGGGATTGGTCACCAGCGATTTCGATATGGCTTTCGATCTTGAGTCTGGTAGCTTTGTGCTTCTCGAGAGAGAACCGGTGAGGAGAGAGAAAAAGGACATACAGAAACACAGGTGTTAACGGGTTTTCTATTAGGACTATTGAAATTACACAAAAGTTCTCAATAACGGGTGTTAACGAGTTTTGCGGGTTCACCCAAAATGACATGTTATTTAACAGGTTAACCCGTTAACCACCCGACCCGTTTATCACTCATCCGAATACTAATTTTAACAGGTCAGAAAGGGTCAGGTTGAAAATGCTACATCTAGGTTCAATGCCTCAATTTAATGAAAATTCTTGGTTACAATTGATCACACCAAGACAAAAATAAAGGAAGACTTCTAATCCCATAAATTAGCAAAAATTCTACTATCCTAAATTCCTAATCCCACTTGACATCGCTACCCCACACTTTTGTCCTCTGTCTCTTATTGACTAAAAACACTCTCAAATCACACCAGCTAGCCATATAAAGCCACCGGCCACATCAAATATTAGGCACGATTCAGGTAACCAAATTCAAATAACGGAGTTCAGATAATGAAATGCAAAGAACACGATACATATAGTAAAATTCAAGAACATGATTAAGAGGATTTGAACATGTCAAGTAAAATCATATTCAGTTGAATCCTAACTATAACATGCTAAATAAAGACAGAAAATGATACTACAGTAGAAACTTCTGAGAATGGACATAAAAGAATTTATGTTCTGAAAACAACTTCAAATAGGAAGAGAAAAGTTTAATGCACTCACAGCATCCTCCATTGTCGTACGTCATCCTTGCATGGATGATAATCCATATTTGGCACAGCCATTCTCGCAATCTTTGAAGACCTTTTCAGTTTTAGGAGTGCTCAAATTGTTCCCATTCCAATCTGAAATTAAATAAGAACTCAATCAAAAACTTTAATCCTACAATTCAATGCTGAAAAACTAATGTAGCCAGAAACCAAAGGATCTTAGTGACAACTTGTACGGACGTTACAAAAATGCAGGACGCGAAACACATTAAAACTTCTAGAAACTCAAGTTATCGCTATTTGGTTATGAAAGATATATATCACCAGGAAACCAAAAAAATGGCAAGGATTTGCCAAAATTTGTAAATCAAACAAAGATGCATCAACTCCTTCTCTGTTAGTATATTATCATCTCACATGCCACACTATTCGAGACTGGATCAATTCAATCACAGCCAAACTGCTAGTATTAAACTTAACTAAGTACCGATCAAATGATCTGAACAACGATTTGGAAAATTAAGAAACAACAAAGAAAGAAAGCAACAAAAAAAAACATATAAAATGCCTAATAACAGTTGATAAAGAATCAAGAACACTGGGTTAAACCAGAATCACAAAGACGGCAAGAGATCTTCAAACAATAACAGTATTGCACAAGCAAAATTAAAAAAATGAAAAAAAGAAAGAAAAGAAACTGTTGAACCACTAGACAATCAAAGGTCACAGAGACAACCAAGAATGAGAAACAAAGCATAAGCAAAGGAATAATATAAGCCGAAAAAACCAAACAACCAATTAAAAAATGATAAAGCCGTGCTGTTTCAAACAGAAGGCATGGGGAAACAACGCATCGAAGTTCAGGACATACCAAAGCCTTGATTCAAACGTAATGCCTCAAAACCCTTAGATGAAAGGCAGCAGTAAGAGCAGATTACGATGTTGTGATGAGACCTCGAGCTTAACTGGAAAAAATTAGCGAGATTGAGAGTAAGAATTTGAAGCCCAAACAAATAGACACAGTAAAAGTAACTCAAACTGTGACGGTGCAATGGACTCAATCTGTGACAGTGCACCAATCAAAGGGTAAGTCTCAAAACATCACTTTTCACTTTATCCCCTACATTTGACCAAAGATAAACGCACAAATTCCCAAACAAAGCAAACAAATTGAAATTGTGTCATGAAAAAACTAACTAACGAATCATATTGAGACATCTTTGCTCGGTGCTTGGCAATGCTCTAACCCACAATGGGGTTTTAAATAAATCTATCCAGGTGCAATTATGGTGATCCACCGGTAGCTAATGACTAGTCATTTATAATTGATAATGTTCTCAATTAGCAGCCGGATAAAGCCATTAAAATGAGTTCTCAAATCGGTCATCTCACAGTATATTCTCTCACATACGTTTTTTTCTATCATTGAATCAGCCTAAATATAATTAAGCTAACTGAGAAAAATTTTACTCCTTATATTTGAGGGTATCGAACCTTGTTTTTAATCCATACTCTTTACCATTTTATACTCAAATAAGCTGAAGAGGGAACAAAGATGCTGCCAAGACAACTCATGAAGAACTAAAAACAAATGAACACAATTATCACTGAACAAAAAAATCAATAAAGCCACAGAAAAGCACAACGATTCAACCAAAACAGCAACCATTAGGGGAAAAAAAATAGATTCTCTAAAAAAATTGTCTAAACATAAGCACACATGAAAAAACGCAAGATACCCTCACAATAACAAACAACTTGAGAGATGCAGAAAAGTTAAACAGAAAACAAAGATTTTCCCATGATAACTGATTAAGCATCGAAAACACACGAACGCAATCAGCTGCGCTCATGTATTGTTAAAAGGCTACTCATTTTCCTAAACACGTACGTTATGATTTTTCCTGAAATATTTCTGGATCGCTGAGAGAGTGTACTTATCAACAGCATTCATTAAAGCACTTCGGGGTGGATGAGAGAATCCACTCCCAGAAAAACCTAATGAAAACACCAACCAACCAAAGCAACCGACCTTTGAACAATAATTTGGAAAATTGAAAATGCCAAAAAGAAAGAAACCAACTGACAAAAAATACATGTAAAATGTCTAACAGCATTCGAAAAAAAAATTATGAACACTGGGTTAAACCAGAATCACAGAGACAGCAAGGGACCTTTGAACAATTACAGAATCACAAAGACAAAACTTAAACCCAAAACAAACAAAAAAATAGAGAAACCAACGGACCTTTAAACAACCACAGGATCACAGTGACAACCAAGAATGAGAAACAAAGCAAAGGGCATACAAATAACATAAGCCCAGAAAATCAAACAACAGATTAAAAAACATAAAGTCATGCTGGCTCAAATGGATAACACTGGAAGCGGCATACCAAAGTCTTGATTCAGAAGCAATGGCTTAGAACCCCTGCATCAAAGGCAACAGCAAGAGCAGATTATGATGTTGCGATGGGAGTCCGAACTAAGGTGCAAAAAATTAGAGAGATTCAGAGTAAGAATTCAAAGTGAAAACAAATGGACAGAGGGAAATGAACTTAATATGTGACAGTGTAATGGACTTAAATCTGTGGCAGATTCCAACAACAACAACAAAGCCTTTTCCCACTAAGTGGGGTCGGCTATATGAATCCTAGAACGCCATTGCGCTCGGTTTTGTGTCATGTCCTCCGTTAGATCCAAGTACTCAAGTCTTTTCTTAGGGTCTCTTCCAAAGTTTTCCTAGGTCTTCCTCTACCCCTTCGGCCCTGAACCTCTGTCCCGTAGTCACATTTTCGAACCGGAGCGTCAGTAGGCCTTCTTTGCACATGTCCAAACCACCGGAACCGATTCATATTTCCTTCAATTTTGGCTACTCCTACTTTACCTCGGATATCCTCATTCCCAATCTTATCCTTTCTCGTGTGCCCATACATCCCACGAAACATCCTCATCTCCGCTACACCCATTTTGTGTACATGTTGATGCTTCACCGCCCAACATTCTGTGCCATACAACATCGCTGGCCTTATTGCCGTCCTATAAAATTTTCCCTTGAGCTTCAGTGGCCTACGACGGTCACACAACACGCCGGATGCACTCTTACACTTCATCCATCCAGCTTGTATTCTATGGTTGAGATCTCCACCTAATTCTCCGTTCTCTTGCAAGATAGATCCTAGGTAGCGACAACGGTCACTTTTTGTGATCTTCGCTAGATTGCTCCGGTCATTAGTGTGGATAAGTATATAAATGGATAGAGATAGGAAAGCAAACACAAGATGTACGTGGTTCACCCAGATTGGCTACGTCCACGGAATAGAGGAGTTCTCATTAATTGTGAAGGGTTTACACAAGTACATAGGTTCAAGCTCTCCTTTAGTGAGTACAAGTGAATGATTTAGTACAAATGACATTAGGAAATATTGTGGGAGAATGATCTCGTAACCACGAAACTTCTAAGTACCGGAGTGTGGTATCGTCTTGACTTGCTTTATCTGTCTCATAGGTAGATGTGGCATCTTCTCTGGAAGTACTCTTCCTCCATCCAGGGGTGGTATCTGTAACTGGTGGAGATGCACAAGGTAATGTATCAATTTCACTTGAAGCTTACTTGTAGTTTCAGGCTTGGTCAAGCGCGATACAAACCATGTAGTAGGAGTCCCCCAAGTCGCCGGGCTAGGGGATCTGCTGAAAGAGGTGACAGACAAGGTAAGCAATCAGAGCTCCGGCTGATTGTTCACATTCTCCCTATCTTGCAGGCAGCATGAAGGATAAAGAGAAGAAAAATGAGAAGAGATGATATGGGATACTTTTGCTTTTGAAGAAGTAACTTTCCACAGGCTTATTCTTGAACCGGGCTGGAGGGTTTTCTGGTTTCCTCCAGAGTATAAGGCCGACTGAAGAATTTGAGGGTCAAAACAAGTCCATCAAATCTAGAGTACGTTCGACCTTGCTGATATGGGATACTTTTGCTTTTGACAGAGTAGTGGATGTATCGGCACGTGTGTTGTTACGCTTGTCTCCACATGCTTCCTTGTATCCTTCTCACTTGCCCTATCTGTTCCTCGGGCAGATGCGGTATCTTCCCTGGAAGCATAAGATGTTGAAGATGAGTACTCGAGAGCAATGTCAGGTAAGTAATCAGGTAAGGGGTTCCAGGCAGTCAGTTCCTGGCTGGAAGCTTGATTCCAAGTGCTGACTGATTGCTCTCTTTCTCCTTGTCTTGCAGGTAAGAACAAGGCCAAAGGAAAAGACAGGGAAAAAGCATGATATGGGATACTCTTGCTTTTAACCCTGATGATATGAGATATTCTTGCTCTAGTATAGCTTGTTTACAGAGGTATTATCGGGGGGAAAGAAAGCTGAATATTTCGAAAGGCTTCGTTGGGAGTGCCCTCTCAGATAAGAGAAAGGGTTGAGCATTTTTGCAGGTCTGCCTGTCCGTTAGGGATGGAGGTCGACATATATAGGAGTCTCCCTAACATCAAGTAATAATGCTATTCCTTTACCCTGCTTGGTCATATCACGGTAGTGGGAGCTGCCAGCTTCACATGTTTTAACTCTGTCAGAGCACTTTGAAAAAATGGTCTGTGGTATCTGGAAAGCTGATGTTGCGTGTGAAGATTACAGACAAGCTTTATCCAAGGAGATCCAGCTCTTGAAGTTGGGAAAGTGGTGCCTCTTCGATTTTCGAACAAGCAATCTTGTCGGGGATCTGGCTCTCGAGATTCGGAGAACGATGCCTCTTCGATTTTTGAGAAAGCAATCCTGCTGGGGGTCTGGCTCTCGAGATTCGGAGAGCGGTGTCTCTTCGATTTTTGAGAAAGTAATCATGTTGGGAGTTTGGCTCTCGAGATTCGGAGGGCGGTGCCTCTTCGATTTTGGAGCAAGCAATCTTGTTGGGAGTGTTTTCTCGAATGTGAGTAAAGGTTGGGCATGTTTGCTAGTCTACCTTGCCACGAAGCACAGAGGTTGACACACCGGGACTTTCCAATTATCCAGCAGTGGTACTGTTCCTTTACCCTTGTGGGTAATAATATGGTAGCTAAACCTTCAAAATTTATGTGTCTAAACTTTGTTAGTGTTGTTTCTTTGCAATTCTTTTACCCTTCTTGGTCAGAGCGATGTAGCGGGAGCTGCAAGCTTCACGTGTCTCAACTTTGTCAGAGAACTTTGGCAAAGTTATCTGTGGTACCCATGAGTTACTGTTGCGTGTGGGAAGTGGGTGATTGAACAGTACGATTCATGTGTTTTCTACTTCGCCAGAAATCTTCGACAGAATGCCCATAATTTCCGCAAAGCTGAGTGTGCGTGTGACAGGTGCTGACAAGGCTGGAAAAGTAGGTGCCTCTTCGATTTCTGAGATCGGCCTTCGTGATGAGCAGCCCAGCTTTTGAGAAAGCAAGCCTCTTCGATTTCTGAGATCGGCCTTCGTGATCTTTGAGCAGCCCAGCTTTTGAGAAAGCAAACGCCTCTTCGATTTCTGAGATCGACCCTCGTGGTCTCTGAGCAGCCCAGCTTTTGAGAAAGCAAACGCCTCTTCGATTTCTGAGCAGGCGCCTCTTCGATTTCTGAAGCTTCGTCGAGTGCAGATTTTTATAGGGGCTGACATTAAGTTCCAAAGCACACTTGAATATCCACCAGTAGAAGCTCCATTCTTGCACTTCTAAGATCTTGATTTGTCCGACCTCTTCTCTCTTCAACACCTTTGAAAATGTCTGGCCCCTCCGACCGTCGTTTTGACTTGAACCTTGTTGAAGAGGCAGCCCCGCCTTCTCCAGACAACATATGGCGCCCATCCTTCGTCTCCCCTACTGGTCCTCTTACCGTTGGGGATTCCGTGATGAAGAATGATATGACCGCTGCGGTAGTGGCCAGGAACCTTCTCACTCCCAAAGATAACAGACTACTTTCCAAACGGTCTGATGAGTTGGCTGTTAAGGATTCTCTGGCTCTCAGTGTTCAGTGTGCAGGTTCTGTGTCTAATATGGCCTAACGCCTATTTGCTCGAACCCGCCAAGTTGAATCATTGGCGGCTGAAGTGATGAGTCTCAAACAGGAGATTAGAGGGCTCAAGCATGAGAATAAACAGTTGCACCGGCTCGCACATGACTATGCTACAAACATGAAGAGGAAGCTTGACCAGATGAAGGAATCTGATGGTCAGGTTTTACTTGATCATCAGAGATTTGTGGGTTTGTTCCAAAGGCATTTATTGCCTTCGTCTTCTGGGGCTGTACCGCATAATGAAGCTCCAAATGATCAACCTCTGATGCCTCCTCCTTCTAGGGTTTTGTCCAGTACTGAGGCTCCGAATGATCCCCCTCCGATGCCTTCTCTTTCTGGGGCTCTACCGACTGCTGAGACTTCTCCTAAGCAACCTTTGTGAAGGCTCCCTCTTGTTTGTTTATTTTGACTCAAGTATATGTACATATTTGTAACTTATCGGGGATATCAATAAATAAGCTTTCCTTCATTTCAACGTATTATGTTAAATACACCAAAGCCTTCTTCGCTAAGTTCTTTGAATTTTCTTTTGTTGAAGCTTGTATGTTGAAGCTTTGTGAGTGGAGCATGTAGGTTGAGGTAGTGTTCCCTTAATTTCCCGAGTGAGGAAAACTTCTCGGTTGGAGACTTGAAAAATCCAAGTCACTGAGTGGGATCGGCTATATGAATCTTAGAACGCCATTGTGTTCTGTCCTGTGTCATGTCCTCCGTTAGATCCAAGTACTCTAAGTCTTTTCTTAGGGTCTCTTCCAAAGTTTTCCTAGGTCTTCCTCTACCCCTTCGGCCCTGAACCTCTGTCCCATAGTCGCATCTTCTAATCGGAGCGTCAGTAGGCCTTCTTTGCACATGTCCAAACCACCGTAACCGATTTTCTCTCATCTTTCCTTCAATTTCGGCTACTCCTACTTTACCCCGGATATCCTCATTCCTAATCTTATCCTTTCTCGTGTGCCCACACATCCAACGAAGCATCCTCATCTCCGCTACACCCATTTTGTGTACGTGTTGATGCTTCACCGCCCAACATTCTGTGCCATACAGCATCGCCGGCCTTATTGCCGTCCTATAAAATTTTCCCTTGAGCTTCAGTGGCATACGGCGGTCACACAACACGCCGGATGCACTCTTCCACTTCATCCATCCAGCTTGTATTCTATGGTTGAGATCTCCATCTAATTCTCCGTTCTTTTGCAAGATAGATCCTAAGTAACGAAAACGGTCGCTCTTTGGTATTTCTTGATCTCCGATCCTCACCCCTAACTCGTTTTGGCCTCCATTTGCACTGAACTTGCACTCCATATATTCTGTCTTTGATCGGCTTAGGCGAAGACCTTTAGATTCCAACACTTCTCTCCAAAGGTTAAGCTTTGCATTTACCCCTTCCTGAGTTTCATCTATCAACACTATATCGTCTGCGAAAAGCATACACCAAGGAATATCATCTTGAATATGTCCTGTTAACTCATCCATTACCAACGCAAAAAGGTAAGGACTTAAGGATGAGCCTTGATGTAATCCTACAGTTATGGGAAAGCTTTCGGTTTGTCCTTCATGAGTTTTTACGGCAGTCTTTGCTCCTTCATACATATCCTGTATAGCTTGGATATATGCTACTCGTACTTCTTTCTTCTCTAAAATCCTCCAAAGAATGTCTCTTGGGACCCTATCATACGCTTTTTCCAAATCTATAAAGACCATGTGTAAATCCTTTTTCCCATCTCTATATCTTTCCATCAATCTTCGTAAGAGATAGATTGCCTCCATGGTTGAGCGCCCGGGCATGAACCCGAATTGGTTGTCCGAAACCCGTGTCTCTTGCCTCAATCTATGCTCAATGACTCTCTCCCAGAGCTTCATTGTATGACTCATTAGCTTAATACCCCTATAGTTCATGCAATTTTGTACATCGCCCTTATTCTTGTAGATAGGCACCAAAGTGCTCATTCGCCACTCATTTGGCATCTTCTTCGTTTTTCAAAATCCTATTGAAAAGGTCAGTGAGCCATGTTATACCTGTCTCTCCCAAAACTTTCCACACTTCGATTGGTATATCGTCTGGGCCTACTGCTTTTCTATGCTTCATCTTCTTCAAAGCTACAACCACTTCTTCCTTCCGGATTCTACGATAAAAAGAGTAGTTTCTACACTCTTCTGAGTTACTCAACTCCCCTAAAGAAGCACTCCTTTCATGTCCTTCATTGAAAAGATTATGAAAATAACCTTTCCATCTCTGTCTTTAAACCGCGTTCTCTGTAGCAAGAACCTTTCCATCCTCATCCTTGATGCACCTCACTTGGTTTAGGTCCCTTGTCTTCTTTTCCCTTACTCTAGCTAGTTTATAGATATCCAACTCTCCTTCTTTGGTATCTAGTCGCTTATACATATCGTCATAAGCCGCTAACTTAGCTTCTCTCACAGCTTTCTTCGCCTCTTGCTTCGCTTTTCTATACCTTTCACCATTTTCATCGGTCCTATCCTTGTATAAGGCTTTACAACATTCCTTCTTAGCCTTCACCTTTGTTTTGTACCTCCTCATTCCACCACCAAGATTCCTTTTGGTGTGGGGCAAAAGCCCTTGGACTCTCCTAATACCTCTTTTGCTACTTTTCGGATACAACTAGCCATGGAATCCCACATTTGGTTAGCTTCCCCCTCTCTATCCCACACACACTGGGTGATTACTTTCTCTTTGAAAATGGCTTGTTTTTCTTCTTTTAGATTCCACCATCTAGTCCTTGGGCACTTCCAAGTCTTGTTCTTTTTTCTCACTGATATGTACATCCATCACCAACAAGCGATGTTGATTAGCCACGCTCTCTCCTGGTATAACTTTGCAATCCTTACAAGTTATACGATCCCCTTTCCTCATTAGAAGAAAATCTATTTGTGTTTCCACATAAACAAAAATGCATTTCGACTTCGTTTTAAAAAAAAAAAATGCCTGCATAAACACCACCACTGAGCCACTCAACACTACAATTTTCTTTTCCTTTTCCCCCATTTTTCTCACCCACCAACCAAAAGGTAAGCCTCAAAATGTCAATTTTCATTTCCTTTCCTACACTTGCCCTAACCATCCGTAAACTGACAGTTTGGAGAAGGAAAATGATTGAACCCATTACCAAAACAGAACCCTAAACCCTAATTATTAAATCAAAATTGTTTAACAACACTCATCAAAATAATCCTAGGTTCTTTTGAAAAAATAAAAAACAAAACAATCCCAGGATTTCTTCAGTGCTTAAAACTAATATAAGCAAGCATCGGAGAAATACAGAGAAATGGAAGAAGCCTACAATCACATCCCAGTCACAAAATGGCAAAAAAAAAAAAAAAAAAAAAGTAAAAATCGTAACCAAACCAGCCCTAAATAAATCAAAGGCAGCAATCTAACCAAACCAGTAGCCATGAAAAGCAATAAACAATAGAACGTCCCAAATAAAACCTCCAAAACATAAGCACAGATGAAAAAACATGCAAGATCACCACTACAATAACAAACAATAGGAACATGAACAAAAATGGGCAAAACACGTATGGTGCGATTTTTGCAGTGGGACTGTAAAAATCAAAGAGCAGCTAAGAAGGAAGAAAAATAGAAATTAAGAGCAAGGTAGCAACCAAAAATACAAAAGTTAGTTAACAAATAGAAATCAGGAACAATATCTCCCAACTCTCCTAATTTCATAATCTAACAACATTTCTTGTACTTCCAACCCAAAGGTGGACAACTGAGCCAGAACCAAACAGTGAATAAACCATAAAAAAAAGATCATGTCCAGTTACAAACAGAAGATGAGCAGTCAAAGAGGGACACAAATAGTTTACAATAATTTGCTGCTTGGGTATGATATATATGTTGTAATCAATTCACTCAATCAACATCTCCAATGATGATATGTTGTCAGAGAATCTTGAAATGCTCATGCACTTTCTTTGCAGGGAATTGATTATTTGAAGTATGATAACTGTAATAATGATGACTCCAAGCCAACTTTTAGGTGAAATACCAAGAATTTCTTTGGTGATAAAGCACAAACTTTCCTGCCTTCACTTAATTATCCTGGGATAAGGTCTCCATATGATACACATATTGATAAACATTTCAACTCTTCTTGTAGGTACCCTGTAATGACCCAAGCTCTGATGAAAGCAGGTCATCCCATATTCTTTTCTCTTTGTGAATGGTAACGGTCCTGTTTGCCTAAACTGAAAAACCACGTTTTTTTTTTTTATTTCCTTAGTAAGAGGCTTAATTTGTAGTTTTGTATTCTATTTCGTTTTTTAGGGGAGATATGCACCCTACTCAATGGGGTGCTAAAGAAGGAAATAGCTGCAGAACTGCTAATGACATTTCTGATACATGGGAAAGGTAGAAACACGCATGTGCTTCCATTAACTCTCAAATTGTTCTCATGTTTTTGGGGTCTCACATATAATCCCGTTTTCTGGCATTTTGGTTGGCAGTATGCTCTCTAGAGCAGACATGAATGCAGGAAACATGAATGGCATCTATTAAGGAAACAAAAATGTTCAAAATTTTCAACACTTAATTAAGATTGGACACTACTACGTAAAGACCAACTGAAAATGGAGACTGCCACTTGTTGAATGTGGTAACTTAGTAAAGTTTCTGAACAACTCAAATTAACCACTAGTTAATATGAGTACATTTTGTCATAATTGAACCTAAGTGTCATAATTGATCATCAGACAAAATCTAAGTGCCATAATTGAAAAATATTGGGATTCAAAGCTATGGCGCCAACAGTACCACCACACCCAAATATATGAATAGAAATATAGTCACTGTAGGCTAACTAAGAAACCCAGGCTTGAACATAAACCAGGGCAGGGCATAAGACACTTACCAAACTTTTCAAATGACTCAATTGTTCACTTAACTTGACAACTTCTTCCTGCAATTGATAAATCACATCATTAGATGCAATAAAAAAAACATAAAAGTGAAATACACTTTATTTGATTTCTTCGTAGGTACCTAGGTACAGTACTGAAGAACACATTTAAAAGTTTCTTTAGATGTCTTTGATATAATGTTCTTTAGATGTTAAAGAAAAATAACTACCTAATGACCAATTAGGGGAGCAAAATTTCTGTGATTATTTTTATTTTATAAGATACATAGTTTTTGACAAGCATTCTTGTAAGGTCGATTACATTTGTAAGTATAACTGAACCCCAAATTGTCAGTCATGAAGAAACTGAAATTCAAGAAACAAAATCTAAAAGAATCTTCAAAACTGGAGACTCTAACTGTCCTACTATTGGAAAACAAAAAAACACAAAACTATATATATATATCAACCCCATACATATAGATAAATGGCTGAAAACACAGGACAAAACTTTGCACTAAACTTTTCTCTGTTGTGTTTACTAATTTCGTTCAAATTCAAATCACACAACAAAAACTAGTTAATAATAATTAACAGACAACGCCAGCAACCTAACAACAAAACTAACAGCACACTAAACAGAAGCTAATAATTGAAACGGAATAAGAAGAGCTTAAAGCTCTATTAAAATCCTGTGCAAAAAAATTCAAGCGGCCTCAGATGGTCTCCTAAATTCATTGCTAACAACCAAATATAATAATAAAATTTAAAAAAATAAGGTCAAAAATGGACCAACAGGACCTCTTGCATTCAAATTTTTGAACCAAAAGTCAAATAATGTCAACAAAAAACTGATATTTTCGATTTCCAATTTCATATCCTTTCAAGAAAATATCAAAAAACTAAATTTTTAACATTCCCCAAAACTGAAAATCCAATCTTTGGGAGAAATCCATGAGAGCATGCAGTTGTATCAGTCAAAATATATTCCTTACCTCAACTAATTGAATTAACCAGCGGAGCTAATTATTATGTAATTACACATCTAGAGCTATCAGCTATAGCGAATCTTTAACAAACACAGAGCAAGAAGAAGCCACAATTGCACTTAATTGTACTTAATTTGCTTAAAGCAAAACCACAAAGCAAATTCCAATAAACTAAATTATTTAGGCAGGATTAATATGCACATCTCTACCAGTAAATAGTTCCCCTAAATTGATTTTTACTCAACATTTCACAGTATTAATGTAAATATAGAAAACATAACAACCATCCTTAATAAAAAACAGAGCATAACTCCAATGTCATGTATGTCACGATGCAGAATTTGCCCAACTGAATGTGTTTCTAGTTGATTACATAACAAAACTAAATAAAACTATGAACTATATGAAGATAAAATACACACCTGGGATACCAGTCTAACAAAATCCCAGCATAAGGAGGCACATGGAAGTACTCAACGACCGTTGCACTGCCTAGCTGCTGAAACTCTTTCGGACCAAAGGACCCTGCAGACTACTCATTAGCAAAGATACCATGGTGTGTGCAGGATAATTCACACCAATAAAACTACAAAATCAATTATAAATTTCACTCTGAAACTGATCTGCTTTCGTTGTAATAGAATCCAAGATTGTACGTGTTATTGCTAAAAACAAAAGCAAAATTCCACATCAAGCAGCAGGTATATAAATGCTCTTCTTTGTAGATTCACCTATTAGCTCGGTGCTAACTCACACACACCATGCATATATAACGAATCACTTTCTTTTTAGCAAACAAAAAGAATATCACATGTTACGTGTAATAAGAGTTACGAATTACTTATCAAATATAGTTATGACCAAGCCCTCCTCTTTAATTTTATGATTTATTATGTTATTTATTTCTACGATAATGAGATGCTCTCGTAGAAATTAGGGTCCACAAATTAGTTTAATAGTAAAAAAGAAAAAACTAACTCACATTAATAACAGTAAACTTTCAAAAGTGCTTTGTGTGTAAAATATGTACACCAAGGGAACATCGAAGCAGCTATCCATACATATATATATAAATAAAGGTAGAAATATAAAGGTAGAAATATAAAGGTAGAAATATAAAGGTAGAAATATTGGGACCTTATTCTACCAGTCGACTGAGCAGACCCTAGGGTCATAAGGAATATCATTACAAAGAAGCCACCGAACCTGTGCAGACTAACAAACTAAAAGGTTGTTGACATCAATGTAGCCGTACAAGAGAGGGTTTTAGGTGAACATTTTGCTGTGTTAAATTTTGATTGAATAGCCAGTTGCTTGATATAATTTCTGTATGTGAGTTGTTTGCTTTTATGCTTTGATTAAATCAACCAAATTAGATAGTGCTGCATTTGTAGAGGACCTCTCCTACAGGTGCTGAAATAGCACTTGGTTAGTGAGTTGACGGTGCACCCTGAGAGTCAGGAACTGTTGGATGGCGTGGAATGATTTTCTTCCCCTTCCCTGCTGCAGACAAACATCAAAACCCACAACCACGTTCACCAAAAATGCACAGAAAAAATACCACTACCAAACTCACAAATTTAATCTAAGTATTCTAAAAAACCCATAAGTTAAATGAAGAACCCTCCAAAGCTCAGAAATTTAAACGAATTTTTTTACAAAATCATGAAAAATTCACTAAACAGTGGCAGGACAAGGTTGTGCAGATGCAGTGAGAAAAATGTACAGCTCGAAGCTAGATTTGCAAGGGTGCCAAGGACTGAGTTTGACCCGCTGAGTCTGAGATTTACCCTCACCGAATCTCACACCCATCCCTCAATCTCACCGACCGCAACCACCCTCTCCCAAATCGAAATGACAATGGAAATCAGCCTACCCCTCAAATCCCCACTCCTCCCTCGGTCCCTCTATCGCTCTCTCTCCCTCTCCCACTGTCCGTCCATCTCGATCCCAGATCGGCACCCGAGGCGGTGGCAATTTTGTAAATAAAGCGAATTCGGACCCAAATCAGCCCGGTGGCAAACTCGTAAATAAAGTGAAATTGAGGCAAAAATTTCACAGTGCCTTCTCCCCCCCTACTTTAGACAAAAGTCAAGTAATTAGCATGGGTTGGCAGCCAGCATTTTTACTCTTTTGGTTGATGGGAAGTTGACCGACCATTCAAACAAAAAAACGTGGAAGTTATTTTTCGCAGTCATGGGGATTTTAAAGAAAGTGGTACGGGACACGCAACTTGGAACTCCCTTGAACAAATAAATTGAGTTTAGTTCATTGTGATTTTGACCAAACTCATATTTCAGGTTCATTGTTGATGGTGCACTCTCTCCTCTTACCAAATACACACCCTCACCCACATGTTTTTACTCTTATCTTCAAATGCATTTATATATATATATATATATGGTTACGATTTGGAGAAATTTTTAACACACATTTTTGTGGGGTTCACTTTTTAATGTATTCTAGCGATTCAACCGTCTATCTTTTATATTTTCTCTCAAATATTATATCTACCAAAAAGTACTCAAATACGAAGCCATATATGACTATTGGATAACTTTTGTGTTTCTTTGTAGAACAATATTCATCCATTTTCTTCATTACAATTGAATGTTTTAATAGTTTTGGATTTGTTTAATTTTTTGCAAGGATGATCAATGAATGATGAATTAAAATATAGACGGTTTAAATCATTGGAAAAAGTTGTAGAATGAGAGCCACAAAAATGTGTGTCAAAATGTATGTCTCTAGATTCTAACATATATATATATATATAGATCCTAGTGCCCTAGAATATATGCATGCCTTAATTAGCAAGTACATAGGGAACTTTAATGAAAAGGTTTGGGTACTACTTATTTTAACGAAAAACTACATTTTTGCACTAAAAAGTCAATCCTGATACTATTCACTTTACCCTTTAATTTTTCTTTGTCGTTAAAATTCAAAGTTTTCAAATCTTTTTCATTAGTTTTCCTAAAAAAATATCCACTGAATATGGGGTGCCCCAATTATGCCAGGCCAGGGAATTAATGGGCAATGTGAGATTAGAGTTGAGTTTAAAGGGCATAGCAAAAAATAAACTATTTACTATTTCTTGAATTCTTTTGGGCTCAACAGTGATAACTAATGAAAGAAACATGACACTGTTGGGGTGCCCGACTCTACTCGTGGTTTTTTTTTTTTTTTTTTTTTTTGATAAACGACTCGTGGTTATTTGTAAGAGTGAGATATTGTACTTGTTCTCTCAACTAGTTTGCACATTATTATTATTATTATTATTATTATTATTATTATTATCCTTCTTCGTTGCGGAGGAAGACGGAGGATTCTTTGTAGTTAGGGTAAACTGTCAAATATCCTTCGAACTATCACAAGGTTGCCAATTACCTCCTTAAGCTAATACAAGGCTGCTAATTAATTACACCCTTGCCATTAATTTCAAGAGATTTCATCCAAATTTCTATTAAGTGATGTCATGTCAGAGGCATGTGATATATTTTCGAGTGCTGAACCACATATGGATGTCAATTATCCCCTCTCCCCCGAGCTATTTGGACAATAAAATCCTCTCGAATCTTGTTGTTTTCCTGAGTCGAATTCCATGTTTGTCCTTGAAATTGTCACATGCCTCTCACACTTCACTACTTAACAGAAATTTGGATGAAGTTCTCAAATCTAACGACAAGAAGATAATTGATAGTCTCATACTAGTTAAGGGGGTAAATCCACAAGAAAAATAGTTCAAAGTGTAATTGGCATATAGTGCGGGAGTTATTTGACAGTTTACTCATGTAGTTATAGCATGCCCATCCATCCATGTTAAGATACACTGTTTGTCAACATCAGTTTGCTCTATCCACTATCGACCCACTCTTACGTATTTATGAATTTTACAGAAATATGAGATATGAATGAATGCGAACGTCCCCACTTATTTATCTTATATGTTTAAGTTATATCTTCATTAACTCACCTGCATGAATCTATATATTAATACAAAAAAAAAAAAAAGATTGAAGCAAAGATGCCATTGTTTATAAGAACAAAAAACGTACTGATAGTCCATGATAGAAGTTTTCAAGTTGATAAATTGATTTTCTGACTATATCTTATTTAGTAGCAATCACAATGAGCAACACAACTTTCCCAAGCATTACGAGGAAGTTAATTTGTTTGAACGATCGACAATATATAATTGGTTGAGAAAATGAATGATGGTCGGTGAGCGGCAACAAGAAGTGCACGACATGGTCCCGGCCTTAAGAATGAAAAAAGGAAAAGAAAACTAAAACTTATACTCCCGGCCAAGGGGATCAGTCGGTGATATTTCCTCGTTTGCATACTATATAAGTGACCAAGACTGACTTCAATCAGTACCCTGAATCCAAGTTATCAGCTATATACTCAAACAAGATATATACATTATACATATTCTCTCCTTGGCAAAACAAGAGTTAAAAAAACCTAGAAACTTTTCTCTATCTATCCAGTATCCACAGTAATGGAGTTGGAGAGCATTTTAGGATATTTTCGGAACAAGACCATCTTAGTAACTGGAGCCACTGGCTTCCTTGGAATGGGTATGGTCTCTCTCTCTCTCTCTCTCTCTCTCTCTCTCTCTCTCTCTCTCTCTCTCTCTCTCTCTCTCTCTCTCTCTCATTTCTTAACTTTGTGTAAGACTAAACCCTACATTTAAATTTCATTTTCATTTCATTCATCATAATATACATTTAGGTAAACTAATTTTTTACATATAATATAGGAATATACAATTTGTATAATCTTCATGTAGGTACATTAATTCATTTGATATATTTTGGTATATCCATTGATACAAATATGTAGGTACATTAATTCAATATAATACATTTCCATACATTAATTCAATATATTCATTTCGGTACGGACAATTCGGTATTGACATTTAGGTACATTAATTCAATATAATACATTTAGGTTCATTATAATATATGTCGGTACAAACATTTCAGTACAACCATTTATATACACTTATGTATTTACATATTTATGTGTCACTAATTTCTTTTAATATTTTCTCATTTATGTTCATTTATAATTGAAAGAACTAATATGCGTGTATTAATAAAATAAATTTTTTAATGTGGAGACATTAAATAAAAATACATATTAAATAATAAAAATAGAATATAAATTTTAATAAAAGTACACTTATAAAGGATTAAATTGAACATGTAATCTAGCATTAGATTTTCTTTTTTAAATTCTAATTTTTTGTAAGGACCAATGTTCAAAAACCCTTTTTGCAAATACATGCAGTGTTTGTGGAGAAAATACTAAGAGTTCAACCAGATGTGAAAAAGATTTATCTTCTTATAAGAGCTACAGATACCAAGGCAGCCACAGATCGCATGCATAAAGAGGTTTATCTGTGAATACGCAATAGTTTTGTTTAATTATCTTGTAGTTAATCACGTACATTTTATTAAATATTAACTTATATTATATAATCTCAGATCATAGAGAAGGAGTTGTTCAGTGTTCTGAAGGAGGAATGGGGCACAGAGTTTGATTCCTTCATTGCAAACAAAGTTGCGGCTATCCCGGGAGACGTAGTTTCTGAAGATTTGGGAGTGAAAGAATTCAAGTTGAGGGAAGAAATGTGTGGTGAAATTGAAATCATATTAAACTCTGCAGGAACCACCAACTTTGATGAAAGGTATTTACTACATATGGACCACTGAAAACATGTAAATACTAAAATAAACATGTAAATTTATCGTATAATATCGTCTCTCTATAAAATACTAAAATAAACATGTAAATTTATGTCCTTACTATTTGTTCCATAGATATGATATTGCACTGAGCGTCAATACATTTGGAGTTCAGCATGTATTGAGCATGGCAAAGAAATGTCTAAAACTAGAGATCCTGCTCCACGTGTCAACTGGTTAGTGGTGTTCGTTTTTCTCATTTTGGTTCCAATATGAAATAGTTTTTTATTTACTTTTCACAAAATGTTACACTTCACAAATATTTGTACCATCATTTGTATCTTCTTTCTAATAGAGGTAAGACACACCAACACATGTGGTCTCATCTCTGTTATAGAAATTATACAAATGATGATCCAAATATGTGGTATCATTGTTCCAATATGAGATAATTTTTTATTTGTATACGTGAATGACATGATTAATATGTCTCACTTTAAAGTATATTTTTAATGAGTGGATTTTTATACACTGAAGTTTCATGTCTCACCTATTAATTTTATTTAAAATAAAAAGGCTCTTACACCCAGTTAAACTTAACTGAAAAATATGAATTTACCCTCTAAAAATGAATTTTCTTTACTTAAAACCCCACATAGTTTTTTTTTTTCTCTCTCTCTCTAACTAAACCCACTAACTAGACTCTACATAAGCAAAATCATTAATTAAGTTTGACTTCAGGCATTTTTTTTTCTCTCTCTCTAACTAAACCCACTAACTAGACTCTATATATATGACAATTGATGTTATAAAATTCAATGCGTATTAATGACAAATTGAATTGATGTCAGGATATGTACTGTGTGGCTAAAAACAAAAAATGTTATAAAATTCAATGCGTATTAATGACAAATTGAATTGATGTCAGGATATGTACTGTGTGGCTAAAACCATAAGAGCATTAATGCTATAGTTTCAATGCATTATTAATAAAAAAAATTAAATTTTTGCGAAAATAATGTACCTATCATTTAATTTGACGAAAATAATTTACTCATTGTTTAGGCTTATTAGCTGAAATGCCCCCTGAAATTACCATTGAGTCTCATTTTACCTTCTGAAATTGGTTTTATCTCACTTTACCCCCTGAAATTGACATTTTCAACTCTTTTGTCTCACTACTTCTATTAATGGACTGTTAAATTTAAGGGTATTTTAGACATTTCAATTTTTACACATTTATATACTTCTAGCCTACACACTAATCAAGTCTCAAATTTAATTTTGAAACTCTAATTCAAACCCATAAATTCAATAGTTTGAAACTGTAATTCAAACCCAATAATTCAACCATGTGAAATTTTTTGTTTCAAACTGTGCACATTTTCTTTAAATGATTTTTTTGGTTTGGTAAGTATTTTGGATATGATAGCTTAATGGTATAATGATTTTGCTGTGATGAATATTTTTTAATTGCAAAGTTTCAAGCCAATACATGAATGTTTTACAAGTGAAATGACTCTATGAACAAAATGTAACTCTTATTTTGGTTGATACAATGATTTTGTTGCTTGGAATTTTTCTATTGATTAAATAATTTATTTTATAAAATGCACAAAATTTATGGGTTTGAATTAGAGTTTCAAAAATAAAATTGAGACTCATTTAGTGTAGGCTAGAAGTAAATAAATGTGTAAAAAATAAAATATCTAAAATACTCTTGGATTTAACAGTCAATTAACGGAAGTGGGTAAAGTGAGACAAAAGAGTTGAAAATGTCAGTTTTAGGGGGCAAAGTGAGACAAAACCAGTTTCAAAGGATAAAATGAGACTCAATAGCAGTTTCAGGAGGCATTTCGACTAATAAGCCTTAATTTTATGTTGTTCTTGCTTAATTTTTACAAGAAACAAAGTACATATTACTTATTTTTTTACAAAATAATGTACCTATTATTTAATTTTACGAAAAAATAATTTACATATTGTTTAATTTTTATGAAAATAAATGTAACTGTTGTTTAATTTTTACAATAAACAATGTATCTTCTAGTTTATTTATACAAAAATCAAGTACCTGTTATTTATTTTTTTATAAAAAATAATGTGCCTATTGTTTAATTTTTACAAAATTAATGTATCTACTTTTTATTTATCGTATTAGTATACAGGAATGGCTTAAGGGAAGAGATCTCCATTTTTTTGAAAAAATAGGGACACGCTCCCCACCGTTAGATTGACTTTAATAAAATTGTGTGGTTAAGATTAAAACACAGGCCACACAATTTCATTAAAGTCAATCTAACGGTGGAAACGTGTCCCTATTTTTTTGAAAAAAATAGGAATCCCTCCCCTTAAGCTCTTTGTTAGTGTACATATTTAGAATGTATATATTTGAACTAATTAAGATTAAAGCAAGGCACTTCCCAGTTCCCAACCTTGAAGTGGGAATTGAGAGGCACGATACAAGCCCTCAAAAAAGCCGAAATCCACGAGAAGGCCTCTTTGACTAAAGATAATCGCGGTTTCCCACTGACGCGAAGAGAGGAAGCGGGGAAAGGTCTACGAATCAATCAAACGAAATAAATTGTCTAAAAAAAAACTTAGGAAACTTGATATAACTCTAATTTTTTGAGCCAATAGTAGAAATGATCCAATTTATTAAAATAAGTTCAATTCTTTAAATTTAATTATTTTATTATCAATAATTATCTCTTAAAAGAAAAAACTTATTGTAAAAATCAATTTTCTTCCTAATTATCTCTTTTTATATGTTTTTTTGTTGTATCTTGTTTTTCCTCCTGTTTTAACCCATTTATAGATTTTTTTTTAAATTTTAATAATCAACCTATATCACAAGTTAATTGTATTTATCTACCTATATGACAGATTCTTTTTCATAGTCAACCTGTCACATATTAATGTGTCTTGTTTGTAGGTATATTATTTTTTTTCTACCTTTTAGTTAGGTTTCATATCTCACTTATAGGTATAATATACATTCATATATTTTGCTACTTGAGTTAGGGTAGAATGTTTTGCAGATAGATTTATGTTAGTATATTAATTAAATTTTTTGTTTATAAGATATTAATTAGATATTTTAATTGATTTTTAATATTTTTAGAAAATATAAAAGGAGTATAAAAGAAATAAAAACATATAATTAGATAAATAGAGTCACTCCTAAAAACACTCTATATTTTTGGACCTAGATCTAAAAGCCCCAAAAACTTATAGCCATACAGGGCAATGATGGCATGGTTTTGTAAATAAATTAAAACGTATGGACATCCTTATATTACATGGCATCAAATTTATAATTTGGGTCTTATTTTTTATGTTTTAATAGACGAGGGCTTATGTCTAGAGATTAATGGTTGTAAAGGACTAAATCTAAAGCACCCATAAATATCACATCAGGCTAAGTGATTTCTTAAAGAAATAACGTGGTAACCCAATATATACACCACGTGGAGGATACTATCTACAGTATCAGTTCTGCGTCCACACCCTCCCACCCTAATCCCAGCCCCAGCCACACCCATTCAACCTTTTAAGTTTTTCAAGAAGGGGATGGGAGATAGCATGGCCCTGATGTGAATCTAACTTGTGCTGTTGAGTCGAGGTATCCGCGATCTGATGTGGAAGGGAGGATAGGTGTCTAAGGAATGTGAAAAATGGAAAAAAAATAAATTCATAAAAAGCAAAAGAGGGTTTTTTTGAAACTTTATTAAATTATTTTGGGTGTCCAAAGAATAACTAATTTTGTATTGTCCCTTCATTTTATATTATGACACGTGTCATGTACAGGGGTGTACAACCTTGTGTTTCAAATATATTGAAAAATCTCTTCCAATATGAAGACTTGTGTTGACGAGTCTATTGGAGCTAGTTTATCCTACGCGGCTCCTCGAGTCGTATTTAGCAAGAAACACCATTTGCCAAGTCTCTTAATTTATCTTCTCTAAGCTGCATATCAATGAATCTCGAATTTGTTTACCGCATTATGGTCTTTTGATTTGCTATTCAGTACTGATTGTGACAGTTTCTCAGCCTATGTGTGCGGCAGAAAGGAAGGACTCATACTGGAGGACTCATCTTGCATGGATGAGATGGTAAAGGAGACAGCTAAGTTTGATTTCAAGGCGCTTGAGAAGAATCTGGTAGAGGAGAAATTGAAGGAGCTAGAAGCAGAAAATGCGACAGAAGAAGTCATTACAACCACAATGAAGGATTTTGGCATTGAAAGGTTTCTCCAAAGTTTTTCATGAAAACAAAAGATGACCTTTTTTTTTCACAAAACATTAAAAACGTGGTTTTCATCAATAAATTAACCCGACTTTTTGCTAATTTTCAATTTAAACGTTCTAAGTTTTGTTTGCAACTTTTTGTTTATTTTCTCACAGAATTATCTAACTCTTAGGTCAAAATCATACGGATGGCCAAACACCTATGTGTTTACAAAGGCAATGGGAGAAATAGTTATAAAGCATTCAAAAGGTAATCTACCCGTACTCATCCTACGCCCAACGGTAGTTACCAGTACATACAAGGAACCATTTCCGGGATGGGTTCAAGGTTTCAGGTAAGAAGCGTGCTAGCACTTTGAAGTGTTTCTTTGGGGAATATAATTGTCCCTTGGAGTAGTTCATAAATTATTTGGGTTTTTTTTTTACTATTATCGTTGACACTCTGAAAAATTCATTATGCAATGCTTAATAATTGTATTTTTTTTCCTAGCTAGTGTAGTTTTGTCAAATAATATTATGATTTCATTTGGTTGGCCTTATTTAGGACATTTCTAAACTCCTCAATATATGCTATTTTCGTTTGCTACAGAACCATTGATAGCGTAATTGCTGGTTACTGTAAAGGAAAACTGACATGTCTACTCTTCGATCCAACGTCAGTATTTGATATGGTGAGTGAAATTAAACTTCATGATATCCTCACCATACACACCCACAATAATTCTTTAATCATGAAAATAATACAACTTTTTTTTTTTTCCTTTCCTAGTGTAGTTTTACTATGATATGTGAACTATTAATTCCCATTACGCACAGACACAATTTATTAAGTTATATACATAGTAATTTTCTTGCCATTACCTAGTTAATCATTGCTCTATTTAATTATATAGTCAAGAAAAAAAATATAACAAGAAAACATTACTCTCTCTATATATATCATGCGCTATGCAATTTTACAATTCAAAAACACAGCCACATTACCCTAACACATGACATTTAAAGATATTTTCGTGCCAAAAAGAAATTTTTTAATTAAATTCACTTAAATATCTGAATACTATCATATTTATTTCAGAACTTATTTGAGATGATAAAATCATCTTTTATTGTGCTGTGATTCATATGACGCCATAAATGTATTACAGAGTGGTGGTCCTAAACATGGCGAATAAACGTTCTTTGTTTCTCAATATTTATTTGATCGACTCACAAGCGTGTGCTACTATATTCTATGTTTTCATACAATTTTTTCAAGGGATATTCTAATTTAAACAGTTTTGTTAAACTCAGATTTACTTATGCAATTTTTTTTTTTTAGAACTAAAGAACAAACATTTACTTTTAAATCACGCAGATTCCAGTTGACATGGTGGTAAATTCAATAATTATAGCCTTGGTGGCTAATGCAAAATGTTCTTCTACAATCATTTTTCATGTGGGAACATCGTCGAAGAATCCTATAATTTTCTCTCGTATTCACAATTTTATCTTCCGATACTTCACCAAAGATCCATGGATTAACAAGGATGGAATACCTGTCAAGGTTGGCAAGGGTACAGTATTCAAGAATATGGCAACTTTTCACATGTATATGCAATTTCGTTTCATTCTACCTTTGGAGGTTTGTTATTTCTTTCGTTGCTAGTAATATACAATTGAACAAATAAAATAGTGAATACGAACATAATATGTATAGACGTATATCGGTATATGTGTAATAATTTATATATGCATAACGGTATGCAATTTTATCTATAAATATTTCTTCATGGGACCCTTTTTCTTTCTTTTTTGAAGGGTTTAAAGTTTGTGAATCAAGTATTTGGCCATTATTTCCAAGACATGTATCTTAACTACAATCAGAAACTCAAATTGGCGATGCGCTTGGTGGAGCTATATGAGCCTTATATGCTGTTCAAGGGCATGTACGTATGTTTTATTTTGCATCTAAGCATAGGTGTATTTGTAACTTTATCATCGTATGTAATGATACGTAATCATGCGTTGAACTCACATCTTTGAAATGTATGTAGCTTTGATGACAGTAATACTGAGAAGTTGCGAATGATGGCAAGGGAGAGTTTTGTGGAAGCAGAAAGTTTTGGTTTTGATCCGAGGTGCATTGATTGGGAGGACTACATTATGAAAACTCACATTCCAGGCCTCAAGAAACATGTTATGATGAAACGATAATTAAAAGGTTCATACATTGTCATTGAGATAATATATGTTGCATTCTGATGAACAAGTTCATCAACGCTATCCTATGTTCTACCTTTCCAAGTTTCTACATGGCAGCTGAAAGCTGTTCGTCAAAGTTGGTTAATGAAGAAGAAGGCAGATGGTTGTATACTCAAGCATCATTTCTGTTCATTTTTAATTACTGAAAATTATACCCGTAACTGTAGCTGCTTTTGATATTAAATACACCCATATTCTCCTCTTAGTAATTTTTATTGTTCTAAACAGTGTTTGAAGATCAAACAAACGAATTTGAGAAAGAACTGTACACAGCTTTGTGTCTTTTTATTTAATTTTTTGACATGTGTCATTCAATTTAACTCTAGAAAACACTGTTTTTTCTTTTTAAAAAAGAAATAACCGATGATAAGTCACGGTTATTCATCTATTTCCAAAACCAAAAAGACTCATAGAGTCATTTCAACTCCTTGACCACAGTTATTCTCTGGAACCCAGGAACTCTAGAAAAACACTGTTAATTTTTTTTAATATAATTAATAATTTTTTTTTTAAGAAATACAAATAAATCCCCAAAAACTCAATTACCCATTGTCCACCGACCACATCACTCCGATAGCCACCCCTCGCCCCAATCGCCAACCATTACGCTCCTAATCACCGAAATACGTGGGCTTCAACCCTTATTCACCAACTGATGTCGTAAGAACTAACACACAAATTAAATCTTTTTTAGACAGTTGTAGTATGAGCAAGTAGAGATCGTTCTAGGCCGGAGATTAGGAGGGATGCTAATCTACACAAATTTAACTCAAAAACACAAAATTAGATTAAAAAAACAGAAAACTAAACTTAAACTACTCAAAATAAGCTAAACTGATTCAAAACACACAAACTAAGTTAAATTGAATCGAAACAGGAACTAAAGGGAAGTTTGGACGAAAATTAAACTAAGAAGACTCAGAATACTAAATGGGGGGTTGTTTTGATGAATTTAAGATTTAAATAAACAAACTAAAGGGTACGAAATTGGGTGAATTAAGGGGGTGAAAGGCTAGCTAGAGGGCCCTTCTCCACACAGGACACATATGCGTACAAATCGATTTCCAGTTATTCTTCCTATAAACCATGAATGACAATGCCCCAAGTTAACCGTGAACTACACAAATTAACCATCAGATTTTCCTAAATTCATTGAATTGGACTTAGCGATGCAACCAAATTATTCTTATCAAGTTCCCTACATGAACTGCATACTAGAGATACATATCAAAGATCATTAAGTTCTGTGAAAATCATAAGCATTGACATGACATTCGTAACTATGAACTGCATGATACTCCTGCCAGGAATTTACTTAATGCGATCATGACTAGCAACCTCCACTACTTGTGAATATAAGTTCATAACTATTAGGTGAAATTCCCTTATATTCTAGCATCAAATCCTTGCATGCAAACTAAGTAGGCCTCCTTAATCAACATACAAGAATAAGATATCAAACAAACAAATAAGTAAATTGCATTCACGATTTGGATGTAATCAATTCATATCACATATATGTTTATGGCTTTGAATTCACCTCTAGCTAAAACGAAATTAGTTCCACATGTTTGCAATTGAACAAAGATAATTAAAAGTAAACATTGAAAACAAAAGATAAAATACACCTAGAAACGCTCAAACAATCCAAAGGTCTTGAATGGCAGGCATGGCTCTAAGTTTCTTCTCCCTTCCTTGCAAAGCTGCGACACTCTTTATATTTTTTTTATCTAAATTTCTCTCTAAAGCTCTCCCCTCCGAATTCTGCGGCAAGGGTGAATATTTATAGGGCAGATACACGGCATTGTTTGTGGAGGAAAAGGATTAGTTGTTAGCATTGTTTTAGGACTCCTAGAAATCAGATAAGAGGTGGTTTAATATGAAAAGGAATCCCCCTTGTAGCTGGAATTTAGGTAGACTAGGATTAGGATAGGATAAGATAAGGTTAGTTTGAGATAAAGCAGGACTGAATAAGATAAGGATGGTTAAGATAATGTTCCTTCTTTTTAGCTGATTCTTTATCTTCTATGTCTTGAATTAATTTCTTCCAGATTTTTAGCACATTCCTAGTCTTTTTTGATCTTCAAAAACGTCCATCCACCTTGTTTCATTCGTATGTTGTCCATTCCAAGCCCAAAACAGCTCCAAAATGCTCTTTCTTGTCACCTTTGCCATTTGAACTTACAAACACACGAAAATGGCTTAAAACACTCTAAAAAGTAGAAACTAACTACGTATATGCAAGGAAACAAGCTAAATATGTCGCATAAATATGCTCCTATCACCAACCCATCATCATCATCTTTTTTTTCTGGGTCAAAACAAAGAAACCCAGTTTAGGGCTTCTATAGCCTACTTGTTCTGGATCGTCTTCTTGTCGTCAACCTCATCCTCCTTAACATACTGGTTCTAGGTTTGTTTATGTTGGATTGGTGGTAGAGACGATTGGAGTTCTAGGTTTGTTTGGGTTGAATTAGCGGCAGAGACAAAGACGATTTGGGGGAACGTCTTGGGTTTGTGGGTTCTTCTACGGGTTGGGAGATCGAGGACTATGATTGGATTGATGGGGTTGATAAGGACAATAAGGATGATTTGTTTGCACATGGTTTAAGGGCTTCTTTTGAAGGATTGCAGGAGATTAGGGGAAGGATTGTAGGGAGATTGAGGATGATGAGTTTCCACAAGGTTTATATAATGGCCTGCCCGTTTTTTATTTTTTTTTCAATTTTTTTAATTTTTAATTAAATTTTATGCAAAGTAACAGCGTTAAAGGTTAAATTTAAGCGGAGAACACATGTCACAAGATTAGAGAAGACACATAATTTGGGACAACTAACCCATGGCCCGACTTCTATATTTTGCTTAAGTCAAGCTTAACCAAGCCAAAATAGTGCTTAAAGTAGTCTAGTTCAACATAGTTCTGCGCAGTTTTTGAGTTTGTTTGATGAATATGCTTTTTTATTTGACAAAAAGTGGCAAGATAGAAGAAAAAACAAGAAAAGGGGTAATTAACAAAATTTGATCAATTGCTACTTAGTACTATAGTTTAGTGGTATTCATCTTCACTTGTAAGTGAGAGGTCTTAGGTTCGATTTTCGCCAAAGACGAGTTTGACCCACATTATTGCTAGCCTATTGTAGGGGTGGCCAAACGGGCCCTGGGCCCATGGGTAGGGGTGGGTACTAGCGGTTCGGGGTGGGTTAATATTATGTTATATACAAAACGGGGCAGGGCGGATCCAATTTTCTAAAGACACGGGCCCCCGGCTCGAACCGTATCCAATGAACTCCTCTCGGTTCACTTTCTCAAAGACTCCCAAACTCAGAATGAATCTCCTCTCTCTGTCACCCCTCTCGTATCTCGATCTCTTCCCTTTCGATCTCTCTATTCAGAGTCTAAAATAAATCTCATCCCTCTCGATTCTCGGTCTCTCTCTATCGAACTTGAAGGGATGAATGACACATTCAGTCTCTCTTTGTCCAACTCGAGGGGTCGAACAATGAAAGACAGCTGGCTCAATCAGATCAGAGAAGACAAAAGTTACGAGGCTTCAAATCAGAGAAGACGGTGGGCTCAAGCAGATTGAAAAAGACGAATATGAATAACTGGGCCGATTCTGTGGCGCTCAAATAGATCGGAGAAGATGAAGGTGAACAGATCGAAGCTGACCACGCAATCTGGTTCGACTCGCCCAATTCTGTGGCGCTATTAACTTGATCGATTTCGTTGAGCTTCAACTCTCTGTCGTTGACGGCTTACCTGAATCCGTCGAGTCCACCTCTGAGCTACCAATCAACAAAGCTCCCTACCTCAAAAAAGCATATGACATGCTCAAGCATGCAGTCACGCATTTCGTCCAACACTCGAGCGTTAATTGGGTCATCCACGACTTCGATTCCCTTATGTGCTGAGGAAAATGACCTCAATGAGGTTGTCCCTCACCTTTTGTGTTGGCAAAAAAAAAAAATATTTAATTGGCTGCAGTTGTTGATCTGAGGATGGACGCTTACAGGATTTTCTCGCAGCAGCTAAGGAAATAGCTTGATTCAATCTCCGACAGCGCCCTCTTCTTGTCCATATTTGATTTCGAACTTGAATTTGATTGGGAATTTGGGTTCTAGAATACTGGAAATTAGAAGGGAAAAAACAAAAAAATAGGGTACCCGTAGGAACCGGCCCATTTTATACGGGCCGAATTAGGTCCGGTTCTTAGTTTTAAAATAGTAAAATCCATCTTGGCCCGTCCCGTTGTATTTTTAAGCGGGTCTGGTTCAGTCCCTTCAATTTTGGGCCCTGCCAGGCCTGTGCCCACCCCTAGCCTATTATGAGGCTAAGCCTACCCCTCTATCTTAATGTAGATAATATCGTTTGTTAAAAAAAATAAAAAAATCCATCATCGGGTGTGGTTTAAAAAGTGATAGATGAAAATGTAGGTTTAATCGTACGATCAAATTAGACAACGATGCAACTTGCACAAACATTCACGTGTATACTCCACCTATGTGAAGGAAACTTCTATTTTATTTTTTAAAGCTGTATCTACGAAATCCTTTTAATCAGACTATTTTTATTTTGCTATTGCGTATGCGCGAACATTCTATTATGGTTGTTCTTTGCAGCTAGATGGCAACAAGATGAAAGGAATGGACTTTTATGGAGGTCTGGGGAAAAATTGGTGCCATGGTATTCGGAAACGAAAAAGGAAGAGGGGTTGCTGCAAGGCTTTGTATTCAGTTGTTAGCATATTTGGAAATGTAGAAACTCTGCAACATTTCAAAGCGAGGTTTGTAATCCCATAAAAGTTATCAAAAGTTTCATGATGCAATGGATTGAGTGGAAGGAAACAACCACCGAGAGCCAGAAAATGAACAAGAAGGGGATAAGGAATAGCAACACACGGACAAGAAATCCTGAAGGGAAAATAAGGTATGTTCTTGGAGGAAATTAGAAATGGGATGGGCAAGACTTAATTACAATGGAGCCTAGCATGCTGAAACATTAACGGGAGGCATGAGGTAGGCACTGAGAAACAACGTTGGGTGGTTTTTGATACAAGGATGATGTAGGGGTTTGTTAGCTATGTCAAACACCGTAATGAAGGCGGAGGTAGTTCGTGCTGCTCTTTGCGCTTGCATGGAGGGTGGGCATCAGCGTGTGATAGTCGAATCCGACTCGGTGAACCTCATATTTATGCTAAAGGTTAAATAAA